AGGAAGGAAGGAAGGAAGGAAGGAGAAGGAAAAGAAAGAATAAACAGACCTTAAGTGATCCCAACAGGGCAGCGCCTCTTGCTGGACACTATCTTCCTCTGGAGTTTGGGTTTTATACATGGACACCCGCAAGGACAGTCAATAAGGGTAATAGACTTATTTCGAACAGATACAGCATGTGACGGGACTCTCCCCTGCTCCAGAGGCTCCACAGCCTGTCTCCTTCCTCCTGTCAGCTCTACATACCTTCAAGGAAGGCAGGCTGAGGAGGCTCACAGAAACAGTGCTGCTGTGGTCTTGTAAGGAGCCAGAGAGTTGGGCGGGGGCGTCTCACACATGCACCCCAGGAACCCTGAGCTTGGTCGGAGTGAATCGCTGCTGCCTTTACTACCTGCTTCGCATCTTTCGGAGGATACAGTTGTTTTACACACACGGAGGTTAGGATTCCTGCCGCCAGTTCACCTGGCGCCTGCCACAGAGCAATCCAAACTCTGCCACAGGTAATACATCGCACGGGATTTAACCAAACTGACATGCATTGCGATCGTCCTCTGTGTCCAGGGGGAAGGGAGTCATCGGGAGAAATGTGTTACAGCAAGATGTTAAAACAACACGTCTTGGGCTGGGGACATGGCTCCGTTGGGATGAGTGTTTGCCAAAGATGCCTAGAGCCCCTGGTTGGATCCTCAGAACTTCCCGATGAGAGCAATGGGTGCACCTTTACAGTTCCGGCACTTGGGATATAGAGGCAGAAGAATCAGGCATTTGAAACCATCATGGGCTATATAGCCAGTTTCAGGCCAGCCAGGGCTGCAGAAGATAATGTCACAAAAAAAAAAAAAAAAAAAAAAAAAAAAAAAAAACCCAAACCACAAAGATCAGAACTTTTTCTAGGCCAAGGCACAGGTTTGCATGTTTGTTTCCACCTAAACAGAGTCCCCTTGACCTTCTCCATTGACTGCTGTTTGGGCAGAAGCCTCGGGGGACAGCCAAGGTCACCTGCCCATGGTGCTCCTCTTCTCTGGCCTTATTCCGCAACTCCCCGCACCCCCAAATAATAATAAGTCACAGCTTCGAGGCTCGCAAGCAGGTTCAGCGGACAAACACCGTTTGCTGCCAAGTCTGATGACTACCCTTCCCTGGTGACTCCCCAGAACACACATGGAAAAAGAAGAGAACCGATTCCCCTGAAAGCTGTTCTCTGATTTCCACATGCATGTCATGTCATGCTCATGCACACATGTACACGTGTACACACACACACACACACACACACACACACACACACACACACACACACACACAAACCAAAACATACATACATACACCCCAAATAAAATGTAATAAAAATATTTAAAAAGTAGAAGCTGTGGTTTCTTTTATGGAGTTCATACTTCCAGCATTTGTTCTTAATAAAAGATGAATTATCTTGACAGAGACCCAAAGCTCTCAGGGCCAGAATGAATATTTGAGATGAGCCTGCCAAGCTATGCAAACAGTTGTTGATTTTGTTGGAATCCCTTGTAAATTTCACTTTCTATTTGTTGGGTTTTTTCCATAGAGGCGAGGAGGCTCAAATAAACCCCCTTTACCATAACCAGTGGTAGAAAGGGACCTCTAGGATTATCTTCTAGGCAACATCCCCCTCGATTTCTAACTAGCGGGAAAACAACACCCATTGAGATTACTTAGCTGCGACTCCCTCTTGCCTTTCCCTTTATGAAAACGCAGTTTTTATCTCTCTTGGACCCTGGGTGGCTAGAGGATTTCACACCCATTGTTTCCTATCTCGTTGTACAGACAGGACAGTAAGGTAAGCATATTTATTTCTAACTGTCATAGCTCACAGCAAGGCTAGCTGGCTTAGCCATTCTATCTGGAGATGATGGTGCGGAGAGTATAAATCCTTGTAAATAACCAGGTGTCTGTGCACACTGAGCGTTTAGAAATACATTCAAGTTGACAATGCTTACACGGAGGTATCCTGCTTTAATCTCCCTGCAGTGGCAGGGAGGAGAAACAGACAAATTGGGCACTGTGTTTTATCCTTAGATGGAGTTTCCCTCTCCTTATGTAAATTCAAAATGTAGGAAAAACAGACCCCTAAAATCTAAACAGTATCAAAATATTTGTATCACTATCACATATAATTTTGAATGAAGCAGACCCTTTACCTCAAGGATAACTGATATAAATAGGTTCAGAAAGGGTGAATGTGTGTCCACAGTAGCACAGCTAGCGAGGGAGGAACCAAGCCAGAATGGAGGCCAGGTCCCTTGGGTACCGCTTCTCTAAGGCGTTGCTGCATGCCTGTCCAGCTAACTAATGGAAACAGCCACCAACCATCCCACCTGTCCCTCAGGGTCACCCGGAGCATCACTGGACTTTGGGCATAGTAGGGCTGCTCCAGAACCACCTGTGCAGGTAAAAGGGATACTTAATCATTAGGAAGCAGCCAGTAATCATTTCTAGCAACTCAGGCTCTCGACTATTTGGGGTATGTGATTATCCATTCTTGGAGATGATTCTGGAAGCTGCGAGGCTGGATGTTTTTCTGGGTCAGTAGCTCTTTCTGAATTTACTACCAGGCAGCACGAGTGTTTGTCTAGGAATTTGTTTCCCTAGCCTTTCACACAAAGGCAGAGAAAGAAGTGTGATTTGCTTCGTTCACAGACAGTTTCTACCCTTGGCAATGAAACCAACTCCCAAAATATAAATGACCCCAATGACAACACTTGAGTTTCCTTTCCTTACCTTAAATCTACTCGTTCCCTTCAAAAAGGAAAACTCCTGGAAATGCGTAGCCCAAGAGGATGCGTGCTAGTTAATACAAAAATTGCAGCAGCAGGCAAGGGTAGAGTTTGGGCTGGGGGTAGCCAGCAGTGGGAAAGGACAGAGAGGGGAAGACAGGGGTAGAAAGTTGGAAATGTTCATCTCCGTGGGCAATTCAATTCCTAGCTGCTCCTTGGAGACAAAGCAATTAGTGTGGATTGTCAAGGTGGTTTGTGTGAATTGGCTACCTGCCCATTATGAATTGGACTGGGATTAACAAGCTCGTTCCAGACACTCCACCAAACAGCAAATGGCCATAGGAAAGTGATTTGCAGCCACCAGCAATGGAGCTGGATTAAAGCCTCGGGGGTAAAACTTGATAACCTCCCAGCAGCCTTCAGGAAGTCTTAAGACTCCTTAAGATCTACCCACTGTCCCTAAGCATCATTTTCCCTTTCCTACCTCATGCTCTTGCTTTAGGAAAGAGCCCTCTTGCCCACTGGGAGGCTCAGGGCTATTCTGTAAGTAAGCATACGTACCACCCCACCCAACAACCCATGGCCAATTTTTATTAGCAACACCATAGCTTGCTGGCTCTGGTACTTGCAATTTTCGAAACCCCAGGGGAAAGACAGGAGCAATTAATTTGCAAGTTGCCTTCAACACACACACCCAGAACTGACCTACCTTTAAAAAAGAATAAACTTGGGAACTCCAGTATAGGGCCATCATCACTAGACTCTATGTCTCAATTTTAACTAGACTTTCCAGTGGTTCCAAGCACCAAGCCTTTCCATTCTAAGCTTAGAATCTGGAACTCGGGGACCAGCACTAGCCAAGAAGAGCATACTCTCTCAAGAATGAACATCTTCAAAAAAGAGCCCCAGTGGACCTCCCCAGCAGCCATCTGCGGTATCTTGGTCTATATGGTTAATTGTTGTCTTCTTCCCTTTACCCTAGGGTGAGACTGGGCACCTCCATCAGCCTGTGACCTATGTTTTTGCCACCAGTAACTATCCCTGCCCCAGGACATGACATTTCATGTGGAGCTAGGAATCCTTTGAATCAATATTGCTGTTTATCTGGCAAAATTCTTTTTCTTCAATGTTGCTTCTCTGCATCAGAACTAGGTAGAAACTAAACCTGTTTCCACGCATCCTTACTACCATAGAAAATATTACATGAATACATGTTTCAGAATGAATGTTGAAGTTTGGTCCAAATCCCAGCCTGTTACCTCTGTCAGACCACAAGTCTCCCAACCTCCTGTAGAGGCCACTTTCTGGATTCTTCTTGCCTCCCTGCCCTGGGGCCTTTAGGACCTCCCCAGAGCCAGGTGGCTGCCAACAGCCTCATTTTTCATAACCAAATCTGTGTTCCCTGCTGTGTGTGTTCTGTCTGGAGGGCTGGACTTTGCACCAGCACCCATGGGCCCACATCATTTCCCTGAGTCACTGCAGTGGACAAAACTCGCCTCCAGACCCAGAACTTCCCTCCCAGTTGCTCTGTGGACCTGGAGTCACCTGCCGAGATCAGTTTCCATGCCCCAAAGCTAAGGGAATTAATGAAAGGATGCCAACTTGCAAATCACTGGAAAAGAAACTCCCATAGACAATGACACTCGATTTTGCCATAAACAGCAGCTTGTTTCTTCTTCCCATAGGATTAGAAACTCAACCTGCAGGCCCAGATGTGGGTTGAGTCAGCTACGGGACTCGGAGAAGTTCAAGTTGATGAGAACAAGATGCTTGGCAATGTCCTGGGCTCAAATGCAGAACACAGTCAACTACCAGAAACTTTGAAATCACCCCCCAAACATCTGTCTTCTCATCGTAAATCATGGCTGAAAATTCAAATGAAGCAAATTTGGTAAGCGTCCCTTTCTTCTGGCTGTACTGCCTCTCAATGAAGAATGTTGTAGCAGAAATGGAGCCCATTTTCAATGTAACACTGCATTTTACAGTATCCCATCTTAATATCAAACATAAAAACCACTGGCATATGAATTCCTGACTTAAAAATAATCCCATTTGATTATGCTACATTTTAGTGGTTTCTATCTGAAACAAGAAACTAGGGTTTAAATACTATAGTCATAAGTGTTCATTTTTTGGTCATATTAATAGAAATGTCTATCATCCATATCTATCTATCTATCTATCTATCTATCTATCCATCCATCCATCCATCCCATCTTCTATCCTGGAAGTAAGCTTTGGCTATTAACTCATACTTTCAGAATGTAGGTAAAACCTACATCAAACACAATTGTCCTTTGGATAATCAATTACTTTTTAAGATTTAGGGGGGAAAAAACACCCTGTATTTTAACATGAACAATAAAGCAAGAGGTAATGTGAAGTGAGGTTACAATGTCTGTTAGCAAGAATGGCCCCAGGCTTTAGCACCCCTGATTTCAAAGGAAAATGCCCTTTCTATACTTTTAAGGCTTCGTTCATTACTCAACTACAATCAGATTTAGAAAACTTCAAAAGCACTTCATCTTGAAGATGACCGAATCCTTCCCAACTATTTCTACATTGGCTAATTTTTCTTCACATACATATGAGGCCAATGCTAAAATAATTCAATATCATAACATAATTTCAAAGGGGCTCCTAGAGCACACTGATGATTTCACAGTACTTAATGATGGAGGCACCTTTGCACCATATTTTTCTTACAAGGGACTCCAGAGCAGAAGCACAGTTCTGCTGGGTTCTGCAGGAATGTATTTACTGGGACACTGACACCAATGACAGGATCAAGTGACAGCCTCTTCCTTCAGAAAGCTCAGTCAGAGGCACACATCCCTCACCCAGCAAAGGGGCTTTTTGCATACATCTGTTTCAGCTCAGCCCCCCAGAGATGTCTAAAATCTAATTAAACAACTAATTTGCAAATATATTCTAATTTATTCCAGGCAGATTTTTATTGGATGTTAAAATTATCTGACAATGAACCACACGCAGTACACAAGAGCAGGAACTCACTGAAGGGCCACAGGTTACTCAGGTACAAGAGTGGCTCATTATACTCTGGTCCACATAGAATTTTGTATCCCGAAGAGAAAACAAGTTGGCATTTTCTCCATCATCATTAAGTCGCATATTGCTAAAAAATCTTTTAGAGAGCACAGAGGTGATGGAGCATGTCCAGGTGTGTTTCCTAATGTGTTACCATGGCATCTCCTTGAGGGCAGCAATAAGTATCACTGCTTGGAAGCAAAGAGTTGCAGGAAAGGATAAAAGAAAGGACCATACATTTTGTCTTGATCTGTTTTCCTGTGGTGGGAGAAGAGGAATTTAAGTTATGGGGAAAGTATAGTGTGCCATACTGGGAATTACAAACTGCTGTTCATTTGCATGCGGAACCTCTGCTCTACAACATGGCAGCCACAGCAGGTAACACTGTTTACTCAGACAATCAAGTTGTAATTTACTGAACGTGTGTATTTAAATTAAAAAAAAAAGAAAGACGTTCTCAATTGCTACATTGCAGCATTTTATCCAGCTCAGAGGCTTCATAGCTCTAGGTAAGAACTGAGACTAACACTATGAAATGCGATGGGACTCTCTTGTTTATTAGAATGAAGAGAATCACCATGCACACCATGACACCTAACTTAATGGATCACCGATCTTGATATTTTTATGTCAGCCTGGATAACCACTAACTATGATATCATAAAGAAAAAGTGGCTTTTGGGTGATTCTATTTTATTTAAAAAAAACTTTAATTGTATTATTTGTAAAATGGAAGAGAAAGACATGGTGATATTGTACTGTGATCGTAGTTTTTAATACTTACATTCTTCTACTACTACTAACTTCTAAGATTACCAAGCATACAAAGATAAAATTCTGAATCAGAGAAAACAGCTAACAGGAAATGTATGTCCAGTTCGGGGCTCAGAAAAACCAAATGGAATTCTACATATTCAAGGATTAGAAAGAAATTAAAAGTTAGTTGGTTAGTTAGCACTCAGGATAGAATTCAGGGTCTTGAACACCTTAGTCAAGTACTCTACAACCCAGCAATACCTCCAAGCTTTGGTTTTCTAGATGGTCTTTCTCTGTAGCCCAGACTGGCTTTCAACACTTGATAGTCTTGCTTCTGCCTCCTAAGTGTTGGGCTGTCCCTTCAAACCCAGCAACTTACAGTACTAGAGTTGGCTATGGTATGACTATGTCCTCACAAATTTCCCATGCATGAGAATTCTATCCCCGATGACACTGTGAGGTGAAGTCTTTGGGAGATGACTAGGACAAGAGGGCAGAGCAGTCATGAATGGGGAGCATGTATTTGCCTGGCCTTTCTTCTCAAGCAAGTAGTAGACAAGGGCAACAGTAGCTGCTGAAAGCGGTGGAACCTAGCAGTGCTTCCAACCTTCCAGGCAGCCTACAGGGCAACCAGCTACAGCAAGGACAGATGCTCCTGGCTAACTGAATCTGTCCTGAGAACATAAAGAACAGAAGTGAATTCAAGCAGGAAATATTCGAAGTACCTATTGGTGCCAAGAAACTCCACGAGATGCCCACCATGCAGAGATGAGTAATATTCAAGCCTTGGCCTAGAGGCGCAAAGAGTTTAATCATCTAACCATTGATCAAACAGCCACAATAAAGGGTGATAAATAGGATGCGCTGAAAGTGTACTCAGAGAGCATCAGGGTGCGCCGAGATAGAGAAGCATCTAATTCGTGAGGGGTGTATCCAGGGGAAATGACACTTGAAATGAATTTTAAAGAATGATAGGATTCAGAGGCAGGGAAGGAGGGGCACATGCATGGAAGGAGAGATTGCAATGGAGCACAGGAAAATTGAGGACTCTGTATCACAAATACCAAGCAGCACAGAACTGTTTATTGCAGAAACATTCAAATATATTTTAGAGCAGATTTCCTTTCAGACCGGAGACTCATGGAAAGGTACTTTTTTAAAAATATGCCAACCTTTCATTCTTTGTTGATAAGTAGGGTTTAGTAATTTGGTGTTTTTTTTTTTTTAAAGATTTATTTTTATTTTATGTGTAGGAGTGTTGAGTGCCTAGTGCCTGAGACCAGAAGAGGACGCTGACATCAGAGCACTGATCTTAAGCTACCTTTGGTTGTAAACTGCTGTATGGGTGCTGGGAATGGAATTATGGTTCAAATGCTCTTGACTATCAAGTACTTTTCCATCCCCAATTTGCTATTTCTTAAAAACAGACTTTTCCCCCTGACAACGAAAGTCATGATATAGGAAGCTAGGCACAGTGGCTCTGGGCTGTAATTCTGTAATCCCAGCATTAAGGAAGTAGGCAGATCGGGAGTCCAAGGCGAACTTTACCTACATACTAAATTCAAGGTCAGCCTGGGCTATATAGAGAATGGCCGGCTGAACACTATCCCCCACCCCACCCCAACAACAACAAAAAATGTAAATAGCAATAATAATAGTACGAGATATAGGGCATGATGTAGCATCTCATTTTAAAATACCTTGGGCTTTCTCTCAGTCTTTTTCCTAACAAGATACAAAGCTAACAGTAAACTATAAAAAGGCTGATGCAAAATTAATCAGTTCTTTTTTTTTTCTGTTTGCCATTCATTCTTCATTCCACAAACACTTGCTGGGCAATGTTAAAGGCATCCTTCTCAGGTATTAAAACTAGAACACTACGAAGTAACAACCAAACTTATAAACAGATGTCATAAGCACTCCTAGACATTTGATCTCCCTGACTGTGGGAAAGGGGATGACAATAAAACAAGAAGACTATATGGCCAGCTGGAGCCGATGTTTCTAAAAATAGTTCCTGGTTGGGACACGGAACTAACCATGACACGGTCGATGTCACAGAGACGTGGGTATTCCAGCCCTACAGGCCTAGTATCTTGGAGACCTTAGATCTTAATTGCAGCTTTTATTATTGTTGCATTGTTTTTGCTCAAGCTTTCCCTCCGTGGGCTCACCTCTGTCCCACATGACGTCAATAGACAGAGGCCAGTGTTGCTGGATTTGCTAGGGTTTTGCTGGCCTCCCCAGGGAAGGTCACAGGGTGAATGAGGAACCAGATGTAGGGAGGGCCATAGAGTTGGAGGCACCACCCAGGAAAAGCCCCAGAGAGGGGAGGGGAGGGGAGGGGA